ATTCCTGCTAAAAAAAAAATGACTAACATTTCATCTGGTCAACCATCTTAAAGGTTAATTCTTGTTTCCTGTTTCAGATTTTATTCTAGGTGAATTGTTCTGGGCAGATTCTATTTACCTATTCTGAACCAACCACAAACTGTTTCATTGCTCACTCTTACTGTTAAGAACATATTGACTTGCTCCCTGCTCTGCTGTTTAATTCATTTATGCTGAGAGTCAGGCATGAAGAAAGAATTTTAAATGTGACATTTGCAGGCTGTTAGGTCATTTAGGCTCTGACAACACTAGAGAATTCCTGACATATAAACTGGACCTGATTACGAAACACAGACAAGCTTCCCAAAGGGGCAAATTTCTGGCCATTTTTTTTTTGTAATTTCTAATAGAATTTTAATATTAAATTTTAATGTCAATGAAAAGATTTATATAGCCAACATTTTAAAGTAAACTCCTGTTTTTTTTAATAATAAGCTCAGATTGGCACTTTTTCTAATCAACGGGTAACAGCTAAATAAAAATCCTTTTGATTGACAAAGACATATAGAAAGACATAAGAATAACTAACATTCATTAAAATTCTAAGAAATTTTGACCTTTAAGGATTTTTAATATCTCCTATAATCTATAGATTCTGAAAAATCTGGTAGGTCTAAAGGCTATAACTCTCATCAACAGACCATTTAAAATTCTTAGATTCTGGCCCAGCAGGGCTTTTTATGCTATCAAAATCACAGTACAAAATATAAGTTTAAATGCCTTCTCTAAGATTAGTCATATAGAACAGATGATAGAGTCATTATAATTGGAAATGAAAAAATTGCCCACTTGACATTTAAAATTACACTTTACAAGAGCTAATAATGGGGTGGGGTGGAAAAAGTCGGGCCAGATTGTTTTCTCATTGTAGCTACTCAAAAAATTACACCAAATGATATTTTTTCAGTTTTTTCCTGTCACTAACAAGTACTGTATATAACGGTTCAAATGAAAGTTTTCTGAAATTAAGTCTTGTTAAGTAATACACAAAAGATAATTCTGATTTACACTGTATTTTATATAAGTAAGAATTCTACTGTTACACAGCAAGTAGCCTTTTAATATTATGCTTTGAATGAGACTTCAAACTGTAATAGGTGGAGTTTAAACGGGGATAGAAGGCCTGGAATGCCTTTCAGCTATAGCACACTGATTCTGAAAAACCTAACAAAAGCCAATTACTTTTCGGAGATTAAAAATCTTGTTTCTTTCAAAAGAATAAAATAGAAAGCAAACCTGGTGTATTATCTGAGCTACAGGAAGTTGTTCAGCATATTTCAGTGGTTCCATTATTTCCTCATCCATCCAGTCTTCCTTATAGCTGGAAAAAAGGAATTAAAAAGCTAAGGTATATACTATTTTTAAATATTTCAATATGCCAAATATGAAATATATTAAAATATGTATTTAATGTTTTTGAAATAATCGGTATTTATCAATAATCCATGAAAACACCCCTAATGATAATTTTTAAATGATATAACTATAAACACATTCAAGTTGCATTTAATTACTATGTATTAAGATTAGCTAACATCACCTAATATTCTCAGGTCCTGACTTTCACTGTAAGACTTAAAAATGTTTAAGAACTCCCTGTTCATAGGGTGTGCTATTTATCATAGTATTTAAAGGTCTGCAAAACCTGTGCTCTAACCAACCATGTACAAGCCTCATCTCTAGCAACTCCTTTTCTACATACCAATCTATCGTTTCAGCCATATCCAGTTACTACCAGTCATGCGCCAATGTGCCTTGAAGCTCAATGATTCTGACTTTCTCCATTCTGTTCTGTTTGGACCAACCTTCTTTGTTTACTCTTCTTTCAAATATAACAATTTATTTAGACCCATCTAAGTATATTTTCACCTCCCTGAACACAACCATATCTTATTCTTCTTGGTACATCTGATGTTTACCATATAATAATGACTCAGTAAATGTTTGCTGAATGATTATATGAATAAAATAAAGACAACAGTAACTCTTCCAGAGGTTATTTTATATGGAAAATATTTTCTTTAATATCTACATTTACAATGAGATGCAAAGTTGACATAACACGTAACTAATACAGTATGAAATAGTAAAGTGCAGATTAGAAATAAGAATAAAATCTCCCTGAGTGAAAAAAATTTTAAAAACTTTTAAAAAAATCAAAATAGCAAATAAATCTTATATTTTAAAACAATAAGACCTAAACATATTTAAACTTCCTTTTACATGTTTCCTCTCTAAGTTACACATTAACTTAACAATTTAAAAATTAAATTTTAAAAATTGAAACGCTGAATTATCTTGAAAAATAATCAGTCAAGACTGGTCTAAGTCTCTAGGGCTATAGTTAAGCAACCTGATAATGAGAAATCTGGACTATCTCCCAAGAAAAGGCAGATATACAAATAAGAACAAAATTTTTGATATGATTTAAGACCTTAAAGAACCTCTTAGCTAGGTAAAAGTCTGCGTATGAAGAATTAGCATAAAAATAATTAATTTGGAGAACTTTGAAGAGTCTCATTAATGACGAAAAAAATTGTTACAAAACATTGTTCTGCAGGAAGAGAAAAAAGTAGAATAGTGGTTGCCAGAGGCAGAGGAAGGAAGAATGGAGAGTCACTATTTAATGGTTAGTTTCTATATTGAAAGATGAAAAAAGTTATGGACATGGATAGTGGTGACTGTTATGTGATAATGTTAATGTACTTACTGCACTGAACTATATACACTTAAAAATGGTTAGAATGGTAAATTTTGTTATGTAAATGTTATAGGCTAAATTGTGTTGCCCCCCACAAAATTTGTATGTCGAAGCCCTAACCTTGAGTACCTCAGAATGTGACTGTATTTAGAGATAGGGTCTTTAAAGAGGTAATCAAGGTTAAAATGAAGATTTTAGGGTGGACCCTAATCCAATATGATAGTGTCCTTATAAAAAGAGATTAGGACACAGAGACGGAGTAAAGGTCATATGAAGACACTAGGACAAGACTTAACCATCTGTAAGCCAAGGACAGAGGCCTTAGGAAAAACCAATCTTACAACACCATGATCTTGGACTTCTAGTCTCCAGAATTACAAAGAAATAAATTTCTGTTGTTTAAGCTATGGTAGTTTGTTGTGGCAGCCCCTGCAAACTAAAACAGTAGATTTTACCACAATTAAAAATAAAATAAAATATTCACTAACAAAAGAAAATATTACTTTAAGACATTTTTCACAACTTACATTTCAGAAGTCTATCTATATATTTTTAGGTATAAAAAACACACTAAGTCACAAAAGAAAATAGATATATTGAATATCATCAAAATTTAGAAGTCTTGTGCTTCAAAGGACACTATCAAGAAAGTTAAAAAAAAAAAACCCACGGAACAGGAAAAAAAGTTTATAAATCATATACCTGAAAAAGGAGTTATACCAAGAATATATAAATAACTATTTCAACTCAATGATAAAAAGCTAAATAACCCAATTTAAAATTTTGCTTCCTCATCAAGGTTATTTCTAAGTGAAATTGGCACATCTGCGTTTGTTCGTATCTTGTTTACTATACGTCTGCGGTGGAGAAGAACACAATGACTACTCAGTACCATTCGGTGCCAGTACCTTGATTCATGTTAAGGCACCAGCAGCTTCAATAAATATCTACTGAAAAAAATTAAGATTAAAACATTGAAGTAATTCTAAGAGTATGCAGAAATATGAAAACAATACTCTTGATTGTTCATTCCAAAAATCTAAAGTAACAATGTATAAAATGGAATAATTTATTCACAAAAATCTCCCGGTCAATATATGAAAGATACAAAAATGTTGGAAATCTAGCAATTTGTTTTAAGTGACTTTTTTTCTAGTTTATAATTTAATGCAGTTATTCTTTTTTTAATTTTAATTTTTTTTTTTTCAATTATAGTTGACATTCAATATTATTTTATATTAGTTTCAGGAGTACCACATAGTGGTTAGACATTTATATAACTTACGAAGTGATATCCCCAATTAGTCTAGAACCCACTTGGCGCCACATATAGTTATTACAATATTATTGACAATAGTGACATTTTTTAAATGCCAAGTAGCTGTTATGAAAAATTCCAAACATGTTTCTATATTTTTTTTTTCTTCAGATATCACAACAGTTCACACCTGAACACTTCAGCATGCATCAACCAAACATAGGTTTGAAAATTTTCTTAATAATGGCAAAACATTTTTAAAAAGACACTCAAAGTGCAATTCACAAGTAATCTTGGGTATCAGTACGGGCTTAGGAGCTTTTTATTTATTCAGTGTTTTACAAAAATTATTAATGATGTTTAACGTCTTAAAAATGTTTTCCTATCATTTTCTTGCTTTATATATTGCTAAAAGTGTGATTTCAAGCTAATTTTCTTTCCACTTTAATTATCTTCATTTTTAATTTATTTAAAAATTTTAAAGTATTTGTGTATTTATTTTTGGCTCAGAGGTTCAAGTGTTTTGGTTTTTTGTTCTTATTTTAAGGTCTAATACTAAAATATAAGATACAGTTAAAAGTCAGTTGTTCAAATCAATTCTCCCAGACACACAGGAGTCCTTTCAATGTGCAAACTTGGACCTTTTATTTCAGAAAAGTTTTATTATAATTATTTCTGTTCATATGTCATTTGTTTTTCTAGTTCAAGTTCTTGAACTAAATATATTGGATCTTCTCTATCACTTTCTCTCTGATCCTTTTAACTCTCTTTATTTGTTTCATTTTCTTGACTTTTTTTCACTTCTATTTTTTGTCTTTTACTGAATTTTGGGTAATACCTATCTATCTTCCCTTGGGTACCTTGTAATTTAGTTTTCATTTCTGAAATGATTTTTGTCTTTTTCCATCAATTTCATTCTAGACTTCAATCAGCTCCTGTTTCATACATCTTCCTGTTTTTCGATTGTGAGTTTTGTAGTGTCTGATTTATGGTGCTGTTTCATAATGCTTGTTTAATACAGGATATTCATGTTCGAGTGCTGTGTCTCAGTTTTCCTGTTTTGTGGTTTTTATTTCCTTTTTATTTTTCTTTTCATTCTCTCTCTCTCTCTAGTAACTTTGTACAGATGGATGCTTCTTTATTTCTCTGTGGAAGATTATTTATATTGGTTTTTTTTTTCTTCAGGATCAGCAATAGCAAGTTACCTTCTGATGGGGGAAGGAAGATAAGTTGGCATATTAGATTTCTCAGTTCAAGAGCACCCTCCTCTGTGGCTACAATGGAGTGGAGTTTCTTTAATAAATGGTACTTTTGTGGTAGAGGTGGGAACAAAATTTTTTTATTTTGTTTGTTTGTGTTTATCTTATTTCCTTTGGACTCTTATCTTCAGCTGCTTATTTGTTTCCCTTCACCACTAAGCCTCCAAGGAACAGCCCCTCTCTTCTTGCAAGGTACCTTTCATTCTCAGAATTAGTGCTTTCCCACTTTCTAATCCCCATCTCTCAAATCCTCAGTAGCCAAGGCTCTGATCAAGTAGTCCATGTTTATAGTATAATTCAGAAACTGAGAAGACCGTGAATGTTAATTTCAATTTACATATGGCTACGATCCTAAGGCAACCTGGAATTTTCTCTCACAAAATGGTAGTGTTTTCTTTCTTAAAACCAGCCATTATTGCTTTTTCTTTTTAACATTTCGAGCCCCTCCTAAAAGGGAAGACTTTTTATATTATCTCTTTTCAAGATCCTTCACTAAGAATATCTCCTTAAACAATTTAATGAGAGTAATTTCTCCATGGAAAAAGATATGTATCTTTTTTTACTGTTTTTTCAAAACTGCGTTTTTGTAGGAAATAATAATAAATAAAATTTGTTTATACTATGTAAAGATTTTGAATCTAATAGAGTGATACTACCATCTCAAACTAAAATGCGATTGAAATATTGTCCAAATACTTGGCATAAGTAAATAAAATACTGCTGGCAAAATTCTGAAACCTATGAAGTTAGTCTTTATAAGCGTTGATGTATTTTGTATTATTTACTTTTATAGATACCCAGTGCCCTCAAAATTCTCTCCTCTGTACTATCCAAGCACTCCTGAAATAACAATGTAAAATTACTTACTGTGCCCACATATAAGGCCATCTCTGATTCAGAAACAAAAGAACTTTTTATTCTATATTTTGACACTGAGATTAGATTATTCATGTGTAAAATGACATAGCTTATTGTGTGCAGAAGGCCAAAGCATCTTTTCAAACACTAGAAACATACCCAACAAAAAGAAAAGGAAAGCAGAGACATTGTGCTATGCCAAATACAAAATAAAAATGACGAAGATCAGTAAATAATTCAAGACA